GGCGCGAGCCACGGCCGTACTCTTATACAAGCCAGAGATCTCAGCAGCAGCAGACTCCTCCTCGTCCAGCACCTCAACAGTCACAGGCCCCACCGCCCCAGCAGCAACGGCAACAACAGAAACTGTACTGGTCGCCGCTCTTCTACCCGGATGGCTCTCCCCAGCCGATCTTCGAGGCGTTCATGGACGCCTTCTTCACAGCCATGGACAAGAGGAACACTGGCACCATAACGCCCGAGCAGTACTCGGAGTTTATGGACGTACAAAAGTTCCTGACAGAGCACAACATCTGTACGTAGCTGAAATTCCATCTTGGACATCTATTTCCTCTCCCAGATACGGGGTCAGGAGTCAAGACCACTTCAAGTCGAACGTAGGCTGATAGTCATCCACAGGGAAGGCGTGGCTAAAGCCCCTCGTCGGCCATACGCCCGAGGACCATGCGGACTATGAGATGAAGTTAACTTTGGAGATATGGTATTTCGACCACGAGGTGGTTCGCAGGTATCCCAACAAGGAGCCCATTGCGCAAGGCGGAATGCCGCTGCTCACGCGGACGGGCTTCAAACAGGTCATGGCCGTCGAGACGGCCGACGAGTATGTCCCGCCACCCTCTCCACTTGGATCGGCCATCCAACTGCTTGTGCTCTGACATGGTGAGCTAACGGCCGCTCTTCTCAACTCACAGGCCCGAGCGAGCATTCAGAGGCTTAAACCTAGCCATGAAGCACTACGGAGTGTGGTTGCAGATGGGCCCGCTGCCGAGAGACATGCTGCCGCAGACGGCCCCACCACAGGTGGTCGCTCGGATCGAAGCAGCGACTGCCCGGCGTCAGATGGAGTCAAAGAGGAGAATTGACGCTGTGAGAATGCAGTGTGAGATCGAGGCGCGCGGCCGCCAGGCTGCGCTTGAGCTGATATCGGACAATCGATACGTCCATCACTATTACCACTACTAGGCGAGCTGGTTGGCTATGGCTTGATGCTTCTCGAATTTGATACGTACTGTCTATCTGGCGAGGGATGGGATTTTTGCTCTAGGGAGGTTCATCAGAGGTGTTCGCGGGCTTTGAGTTGACGATTATGCAATCGACATGTACGTATGTGTGTATGTATGGAGAGGAGCGATACGCTGGAGCTTTGTATCCATTGTACCTCAAGGCAGGGGCATGTGAACATGGATGGTCCCAAGGCTAGAACTGGGGTTGAGGATGCATATTTCATGACCATTACGAAGAGAACATATTAAATCATCAGCACCACAGTCTGGGAAATCCTGATGGACACGATGATCACGATGGTCTGGAAATTCCTGCCGTGTCCTTGCGTTTGCCCTTGAGACCTTGCAAAGCAATGTCGAGTAGAGATCACGGATCTCAATGTCCGTATGAACCAGACACCAAGAACTATTAGATCACTGGGGCCTTGAACAAGATAGCAATACGGGGAGATGGATAACGTAATACACGACGATGAAAACTGTCAAGCTGATAAAATAACACTTGACGTAACTATGATCGGAAGACTCTAAATCTCGAGGACACTTTCTGGGGTCGCCCATATATCTCGTCACATGTAAATTTTGATTAAAATCTCTTTCGCCATCTTCTTGTTTCTACTATGTTGGAGCTATTGACTAAGTATCTTTGAAGCTAGACGGCTTAAAGTTTGTCGACATCTCAAGGCGGACAGAAATCTCCGCCATAGCACAACTTTTTGCCTTGTGATAATCTTCGATCCGCGAAAATCCGGCAATACTTACATGGCAGTGGTCGGAATAGCGTTGCATCTGAGAAAAGGTGTGGCTGCAGCATGTTGAAGATCAAGTTTCGGGACAGTCGGGGTAAAGTGGCAACTCGACGCGCGACGGCGTCTTTGGCCTTGCAAAGTACAATACAGATGGCCTATCATAGAGGGATGATGGTGTATGCTGAGACTGATAGAAGGCCGCTCATTCCTTGATCTGCTCCAGCTAATTCTGAGACACGGGCATCTCCTCGACGAGCCAACCAGCGGCATCAGAGCCATCAGAGCCATCAACGTGTGACTAGCCGTTGCTGGAGTTGACGTTAGGGATCATCACATGTCCAGGCAGGTGGTCGCCATTTATCACCCACACGAAACGGCATAGATGATCAAGGTGGTGGTGCAGAGGTCTTGAGGAGGGAACACCTTCGCCTCTTTCCGTGAGCCTCATGACGATGGTTTTGTGAGACCCCTATTCTCCTAGTCTGGTCCGCCCCGACCCTTGTGTCCGTCCAGTGGCCTTCGGATGTGCCAGTCAAGCAGCTATAGCCGGGTGGCTGCGGAGTTGACTACTTCTATTACCTCCTGCCGCCTACGAAACATCACCGGCATCCACACGGGAGTAGGTCACACAGACCGTGATGAGACACTCACCTTCTGGCTCTTGAGACAAGACAAGAGCAACAGGAGAGACAACGAGGGCGGCAAGACAGGATAGACAGATAGATAACCAGGTTCACTGCAATAGGAACATGACGTGCATTTGCGATGCAACGTCCGGCCGTCAAGGGCCTCCGAGCACCCCTCCCACCGCACGCCCGCGCGCACGGCCGGCTGTGCCAGTGCCAGAGCTGCATCGCATCGCATCACCCAACACCACCCACGGGAAAGGGGCAGGCTGGGAGAAGGAGGGTCTGAGACACGCATGGACAATATTACGCAGAGATAGGTAGAAACCTCGTAAAGGCTTCGCTTAGTCGTCTGTCATATCTGTTTGAATGAGTGCGCAGGAGGCCACCCAGTGTGCACGCTCTCCGTAGATTACTGACCGAGATGGAGTACGAGGAGGGTCGCATTCGCCCGCCTCCAAATATCGGATCGGGGGTGATGCTCTGGAGGTTGGGTCTGGGCAGGCAACAGGCGAGTCAGGTCAATGAATCTATTGATTGTGAGGGCCACCACCATCCAGTGCGATTGCGGTCCTGTACGGTACCACCACAGGCGCACACACCATAGGTCCGCGCAAGCCTCCTCCAGATATTGGGCCAAATCGGTGTGATTCCTTCACACCCCCAGATTCCTAGTCGGCGCCTGGCAAGATGGGAGAATGGGTGCGGTTGCGTAAGATGTCTGCGTTTGGCCGCCCAGCCCACTGTTTGCTGATGACTTGATCGGGGAGGGAACTATCGCCAGGTCGACCGGTGGGTGTTGCTTGCATTCGCGAGGGCACTAAAGCCCGCCGCCAGTGGAGTCTGGGGCCCCGGACGGCGCCAGACCAGGATGCTCGCGAGCTGAACCGCCATCTTGCTCTGGGGTGCTGGGCAACTTGGCCAAGAACTACGATGATCGTCGATGGATCCCTCGCATGGTGTGTGTTTGGAGAGGAGCCTCAGCAAGTTTGGTATTTCCGGGGAGCATAAACTCCCACAGTAAGTAGTCTACAGTGCGTGGTGCATGGTGCGTAGGTGCGGCTTGAAGATCGATGCGGAGATACAGCACAGAAATCCCCACCCCTCGATGAATGCCCACTATGCAGCAAGGCAACGGACAGGGGAAGAACGAGGAGGAGGGGCGTTTCTGTGCTCCAACCACACATGTCACACCAGTCGAACGGCAGCACCGCTATCCGTGGGCAGAGTGGTGAGAGTGGTAAGCTCGTCACAGCGGCATGGCATGGCAAGAGACGGCTCAAGATCTACTACCCTGTGCCCCAATGTACTATTCTGTCGTCCACAAGAGGTGGTGGTGGTGGGATGCTACTATTTGGGTCGCCGACAAGACAGACGGCAAGAGATTAAACCCGGAGGCCCTGTCGAGGTATCACAAGCAGCTCAGGGTGGCGCTTCATCCTTCACGAACGTTTCGATATTGACTCTTGAACGACTCGTCAGTTATCATCTTTTTGTTTTTCGCAACGGCA